GTCTCACTTGCGAATATGGTTTTGTGCCAATATTTCTTTCCACCAATTGTCTGCAAACTTCTCTATTAAATGACTTCATGCAATATCTTAAAATGGTAGTAAGTGTGATAATCTTGAAAACCATTGATGAGTCGGTTATTTGCTTCTTGCTCCAGCTGTCGTATGTGATTCACGACAGGAAAGAGAAAATGTTCTGAATCAAATTTAGTACTAATAAGAAACTTCTGTTCTAAGAGAATTTGATCTGTTATCACTCCAATATTTTATGGGCTAACTTCAGATTATGCTAAAATAGACTTTGAATTTAGTGTTAAAACAGACTATCAGATAAGTCAGATGCATCAGTAAGTTGAGAATGGAGGTGTCATCCTAGCCACCAGGTGCTGATTCGTGTTTCCAATTTATGTCAGTAACTGGCCCTGACATGTAAACTGGTGGTCCACCCAGGTGCCGAGAGCATGGGCACACACGTGGGATAACCGATGTCAGGAAGATATATAAGCAGCCATCCGAGAGGGAAACGCCTCTCTATTTTAAACAGTCGCTTTCTTCGTCGCGAGAAGAAGAATCTATGTTTGGAGAAAACACCTAAAGCCACGCACCAACTCGCCGTTATTAATTGACAAAGTTCGGCGTTGAATGAACAATAATTTTATGAATGATGGATTTAATCACATGTTCATATTCTTCTGTACAACGGTGACACGGGAATGGGCTCACGTGTCAAAGTTGGTATTGTCCAAATGTAGATAATCTATGTATACATGAAAGCAAATAACTGCTCGATGGACCTCTGTCCTGGGAGCTATCAAGAAGCAGTTAGGTGAGACTAATAAGAATGCCTTTCTTGAGCCGATTCAGATTTTATTCTCTTAAAACTTCTTTAAAATTAAACCATATACAAATATTTTCACCAATTTCTAACCAGTATTTCTCTCGCCTTAATATTAGTTGCTTTTTACTGGAACTACTGAGGCCGTCAGTCTACGATCACGACTCCTGTAACCACTCAAGTTTATAGGAGTACCATATGTACTGCAGATGCAATATAAGAGCGATGTTTCCTGGACAAGATAGCCTGAAGGAGTCCAACCCTCTCCAGGCTGGTTTGAATTCAGAGTTTTCTTTCTCTTAGACTAGTCGCCAACCAAGGCTATAGGACTCAGTCTGTCCTGCTATTTGCCCATAGCTTAGAGATGGATTCATAACTTTCCCAATGGTATTAGCACGTAAGTAAACATAATGAACTCGACTGGAATTCGAACTCGGATCTCCGATTACTGTCTATGATTCCACTGTACCCCAATCGACCGTTAGTAAAAAGCGCAAATTGAAATAAAATAATACGTTTCTGATGAAACTCACCAAGTAGTTTTTATCCGGGGAGCTTGTTTGGACACGTCAGATACCTTACCGATTAGGCTACGGTGGTCTACAGATTAAATGAATTCAAATGTAACCATATAGATTTAATGTTTTTATTTCTCACGGACAGCATTCCATTTTTATGGTTTCTTAGCATGCGCTAGTAGGAATATTGAATTTATTATTAACTGAATCATTATCAGTTATAATTATTATTATTAAATTCTAATTGAAAATTAATAATAGTCGATGATGATTCATCTAATAAGAACCTAAAGATATTATTATATTGATTGATTCGAATTGGCGTCCTAATCTTGATCGTTTCAGAATTCGATATGAAAACTCATTAACTGACTTGTATCCAATATACCCATCTAGTCGGTCAATGAGTACACACTGGAAAGATAACTGTTTTTCTCGAAGAGATGGCATCCTGAAAAGGACTAATGGCCGAAAGTTAAGAAAGCATGAGAATTGGAAATGAAATGGTATTCATAAGTAAACGCAATGTTACTTTCCTTCGTCCCATCTCTCTCCCCCACCTCGTCTTTCCCTCCCTCTTATTCTAACATTAGATTGTCTATGGTGTGTGTATGTCACCACGAAATGTATCTTTATGCATTAGACATCCGTCAACATTCATTTTTTTCTCTTATTTAAACCCCTTCCTCCCATATTTCCAAAAATTCTCTCTGTTAAGCTTTAATCTCCCTCCTCCTCATACTTACACTCTCTCTAAATTCTGTTTTTATTTCCGGAGTTGGTTTTTTTCTGTTTTCTTTTTGAATTTGTAGGTCTGATGAATTGGATCGTATTTACGATTCCAATGGAATAAATTATGACCATGGAATATTAGTGTTTAAGCCTTTTTATTATATCCTTACTCTGTCCTGGACATTGAGTTCTACCTGGATTCTTCCTCTTGGAAATTTTTTTCTAAAAATATACATGTATGGGTATTTATATATTTTGCATATGTATGTATATTTTCCACCAATATATATATATATATATATATATATATATATATATATATATATATATATAAACCTAAAGAGCCGCTAAACCTACCTAGGTAGGTTTACCTGGCTCTTTAGGTTTATATTAGGTTTGTTCTACTTCGTGTATTGAGCGCTTTGCGTAATTACTTTTACTCGTTTTGGAGGTTTTTTTTCTTTGGACTCTGAGCTTGAATTCTGGACGATTATTTTCGCCTCAATTTCATGGTCTTGTTTCTTTCTTTTTTTATTCTTTATTTTTCCTTGTGCATTAGTTTGTTCAACTACAAGCCGAAATACCCAAGGTTTTTCCAAGCGAGTACCACTATATATATATATATATATATATATATATATATATATATATATATATAGAGAGAGAGAGAGAGAGATATCTGTGCGATTTTTTGTCGGCAGAAGTTCATGTTTGTAGCTCTTTCTTTTTTTAAAACCTTTTTTCCCTCGAAATTGATTTGATTAACAAATCAAAAATTCGAGGGTTTTCGAAACGAGTCTAGTTATTTATATTTATATGTATATATATATATATATATATATATATATATATAATCATATATATATAATAAATTATTAACAGACAATGAATGTCTATTATGTCTCATCATGAGCCGTTCTAATGTTGAAATGTTTGCTTTTATTTCAGGTGAAAATTAAAGACAAAAATTGTGCAACATTTGGATATGTTTTATTAAGTTTTTTTTTTTTTTTTTTTTTTTTTTTAAGCATTTCACCCCAAGCAAGGCGGGGAGCCACTAGGACGCAAGGGGTTACAGAAAATAGGAAGATCAGATAGGAGTGATAGAAGAAAGGATGAGGGTAGTAGATAGATTAAGGCAACTGGAGATGTCGATTGACATTACACTTGAATAGCTGGAGATTATAACTCTCAGGGAAACAGGAGAAGGGAAGAGAGTTCCACAGGCGAGAGGTGCGAGACATGAAGCTATTAGAGTAAAAGAGACGGCTACGTTTATGAGTTTCGACAGTGAAGGGGTGAGAGCGGGATGCCAGCCTCGTAGGGCGCTTGAACTCATGAAGTTTGGGAACCAGCGAATGCAGTTCCTCGGAGCAATTTCCATGAAAGTATTTGTAGAACAGACAGAGGGAGGCGACGGTGCGTCTGTGAGAAAGTTGGTCCTAAGCTTTCGGTTTACATGAGACATCCTCAGAGACAGAAACAAAGACAGACATGAAACAAAGCTATCCACTGTCAAAGATGATATTTTGTTATTTTGACATAGAAGATTTCTATGCGACGATAACGGTCGCGGAACAGCAGACGCATATCCTAAGTTCAAGATACGGTTATATAACGCCATACCTCGCGATAGGCCGAAGTATTACAACAGAACCATACGTCTAGATGCAATGTAATGTGTTGTGACTAGTTTGAAATGCAAATTTGTTGAGTGTTTGTTGCTTCGTTTTAATGTAGATGGCCTCCAATATCTGAAGGTTCTTTTTACTGTGTGTATGCGTAAGTATTATTGTGTTATCAACTCATATCTAATACTAGAAGCATGGCCCGGCGTTGCCCGTGCTTGATTCAAAAATCGTACGACTCATACAGCACTGCACGCACTAACCTGTTTCTTCCCGCGCATAGTGACCTTAAATTAATCTTCATTTAGGAAATACCCAACCGGAAAAACATTTTTAAGGGTTGACCGATTGTCCATTTGCACTCTGTTTGGGGGGGGGCGCTCAGAGTTGAAACTTCACATGGTGACTCCCAATGGCCTCCTCATAAATCCGATCGGTTTTCGCTAAAAACCGACATGCGGTTCAGGTGCAATCTGGGCGTATCGGCTTTTGGGTTTTATCGATTTTCCGCGCTGTTTAGGGGTCAGTGGTCATGAAACTTCTGGACAACACTTCTAAAGGTAGACTCTAAGAGGGTGTCAAATTTGGTTGAAATGCAATAATTCATTCTGTAAGCAGATTTTTTTCGATTATCGATTTTTCGGAACCTGAGTCTGAACTGAAAAATCGGGCTGCATCATGTCCTTAAGGCAGCCATTTGCAAACTTGTGGTGAAAACCGCATCGAAATCGGGTGAGAAATGCGGCCTGGGCGAGGTAACAACGCCCACGACAGACACACAGACAGACAGCATGAGAAATATAGATAGTAGATTATGTATATGGCTATGTTTTTCTAAGAATTATATATAGCCCTCAAATAGGGTTTTTTTAGCTACATAAAATATCTGACATTCCTAGGAATAAAAGAAAAAAACACACACACACAGATAAAGGAACTAAAGACATTTAGATGAAGGCACGAAAAAGTGGATCAATAAATCCATATCCTGAGACGTATTTAACTGATCTTTGATCTGAAATTTTCTATCGATATGATTATTATTCCCAACTGAATTGAGTGCATTAACAAGGAAGGGGATTATGATGAAAACTAAATATGTATTATGTAAATTAAGGAACTCATTATGTTTCATTACCGACGTAAAATTACTGAATATTTCTCAAACCTTCAGTCAGTTAATTATAACAGTCACATTCTATGCTTCATGCCTGAAATTCAGTTGACAAAGTTTGGTGGAATTGGAAAATACTGCCGTAGCGTTCTGAGACAGTGGTTATGTCTCGTTACTGTAGAGTAGTAGAAAGTGAATGTTGGAAAGAATGGTTGGGGATAATGCTGAGGGAGCGAGAAATAAAGAAATAAGAGAGAGAGAGTGAGAGAACAAAAGAGAGAAAGAGTGAGAGTGAAAGAACGAGAGAGAGAGCGAAAGAGAGAGCGAGAGAGAGCGAAAGAGAGAGAAGAAAGCGAGGGAGAGAGAAGAAGAGAGAAAGAGCGAGAGTGAAAGAACGAGAGCGAGAGAGCGAGAGAGAAAAGAGAGAGAGCGAGGAAGAGAGAAAAAGAGAGAAAGAGCGAGAGTGAAAGAACGAGAGAGAGGGCAAAAAAGAGAGAGAGCGAGAGAAAGAAAGTGGGAGGGAGAGAGCAAAAGAGAGAAAGAGTGAGAGTGAGAGAGAGAGAGCGAAAGAGAGAGAGAGAGAGCGAAAGAGAGAGAGAGCGCGAGGGAGAGAGCAAAAGAGCGAAAGAGCGAGAGTGAAAGAACGAGAGCGAGAGAGAGAGAGAGAGAAAAGAGAGAAAGAAGAGAGAGATCTGTCAGAGAAAGAGAAAGAGAGCGAAAGAGAGATATAGGATATAGAGAGCAAAAGAGCGAAAGAGCGAGAGTGAAAGAACGAGAGAGAGAGAGAGAGAGAGAGAGAGAAAGAGGAAAGAGAGAGAGAGAGAGAGAAATGTTTTCGAAAATGAAAGAGAGAAAAGTGTCTCCAATTTTGCCACGGTCGAGATATTATTTGTTTAGTGTGGATTGTTAACCATACCCGAAAAAAAAAAAATCAAAATTTTTGAACACTGACATAAAGTAAAGCTTCCTCTCCATGAGAAATGACGCAACGCAGTCTTCCTACGTATTTCTCTCATCATTGGTTTTGTTCTGTTGTATCTGAAGGTGCTAAATATGACAATATTTTTGTCGTGCTTGGAACTCGTGGTTTCGCTTTTGTTTCAAATTTCAAATAATGCAAAACACAGTTGTAAACAGGTTAAAACCTGCGTCTGGTTGGAAAAGACAACCATATTGTAAGCTGCACGACTGAGATTCACCAGTAAATGTCGGCTGATTTTAAGAAATACAACTGGGAAGATCTGGGTTAGTGTTAATAATGTTCTAAGTCTGATACCATGTCTAAAACTATTTGTAATAATTAATTTTGACTAGTAAATAATTGTATCTTGTTTTTGTATTAGCAAGAGATCGTTGAAGATAAAATAGTAGATAAGTTGGAAAAATTTTAAATCCGAGTTGGAGAAGAGTGTATATCAAAAGATTGCAAGAGTCTTGCTATTCGATACCCAATTAAATGCTCTCAGATACACCCTCTGCTTCCGGAGTTGTTCCTCTGTTAAGGGGTATTAATCATTTATCTCCAAGCAAGACGGAAATGACACTAGTACATCAGGGGTTTGTTATAACCTGGGGAAGGTTACTGAATAGAATAATCACACAAAGGTTGGTAATGAACGATAATATTTATGACAACAACAACACATAAGATTCGCCAGTCAACTGCTAGAAGTGAGTCAAGTGAATTCCACAATCAATCTCCAACTGCAGGATATCTACCAACCGCGTGGGGCGGTTGGTAGATATCCTGCAGTGGTACAAGGCCGAATTTAATATCGGGTATCCGAGTCCGTAGGCTTGGGCAAAGATTTCGCCGCAGACCCCGTATAAAACGGGGTCAGGTAGCTGTTTCCCGAGATGAGACTCTGCACTTCGACATAGCTTCGTCTGGGGAACCTCTCTGTCCGGAGACAGAGAGTTTGATCAGCACATCTGGAGACGAATCTACAACTGCAGGATATCTACCTACATAAATCCCCATGCGATCAGATGTGGCACAAGGCCGAATTTAATGTGAAGTATCCGAGCCCGTAGACTCGGCCAAAAATTCCCTGTAGATCCCGTATAAAACAGGATCGGGTAGCTGTTTCCTGAAACGAGACCCTGCCCTTCGACATAGCCTCGTCTGAAGATCCTCTCTGTCTGAATCTCCAATTGCAAACCCTCATACAGTATTTACTACTGTATTTATGTGAATGGGGACATTATCGTCCGTAGGTATGCTAAAACAGAATTATAAGGAGTGAAAGTGAGAGAAAAGACAGTCTAGTGAGGATTGAGGAAAAGACAAAAGATTGCCAGGATTCAAGAAGATAGAAGATGTTGATTGACATTTTTGAAGGTTGTAGTTATCAGGGAAGCAAGAAAACGGAAAGGAGTTCCACGGGGAGGAAGTGCGAGAAAAGAAACTGTTGGAATAGAAGTTGCGATTGCAGTTAGTTATCTCAACGGTAAACGGGTGGGACCTAGATGCCAATCTAGTAGCACAATTAAAATCATTTAGTCGGGGCACCAGGTGAAAAAGCCCGTCAGACCAGTTGCCATGAAAATATTTGTAGAAAAGACAGAGGGAAGCCACGTCACGTCGGTGACTGAAATCAAGGTGCCAACTGAGGATTGATTATATTACAGATCCTTCTTTGGATTTTTTCAAGAACCTGGACATGAATAGCAGGAACATAGGTTTGTTACAAAATATAGTAGAATCATTTTTTTTGTTTGTTTGTTTAACGAAGAAATAAGAACAGGAATGGCCAGGGAGAACAGAATTATACATTCCAAGATGAAAGATAAAATGAATTGAAATAATCTCACACATTTCTTAGATTTGTGACTCGTGTATCAAGGACGACGAGCTTTTGTTCCTGAATTGATTTTCAAAGATTTATTTGGTTTACCGAACAAAAATAAAGTGGAAACTAACAATAGCCACTAAGTGTTGCTTCCTTTTTACCTCTCGCGGGAGGTTGCGAGACTTTCTGCTGATGTACGAGAATATGCGTGTTTGCCTATGGAATGCGTATAAAAAAACAGGCAGTGATAATTCCTAGAAGTCTATTTGAATATCATTCGGTAAATGGGCTTTTTTTCTGATGCATTTGTATGTAATAATTTGTAGCTCGGTGGAAAAATTTTTTCTTGCAATGTCAGTATGCCGTTTGATTGCTGAACAGAATATTTGTGTTCGTGTGTGCGTGAAAATATGATACATTCCACATTTGCATGTAATGGGTAACATTATAGATCTTTTTTTCATATCTATTACTTTAAAAAGAGGAATTTATAATGTACACTTCTTTTTAGAATAAATTTTTAGCCGAGTTTAGAACTTCTTCGTCTCTATATAATCAAAAACAGATTTGTATGTTCTTTACATAAGATCAAACCATATCAGGCACAAATCCGGTATACCAAATAAGTAAAACCAGAGAAAAAAGAAAATATGTTCCTTATGGGGGGAAATATTGTTTATAAAACCAATTACTGCTTGTTGCTGTTCGGAGGCACGGTGGAGTAATGGATTGCGGCTCGGATTGTGGAATCGGATAGCCGACATTAACTTACGTGCTAATACTCTCGCGAAAGGTATGAATCCTCTTCTTCGCTATGGGTAAATAGCAAAACAGACTGGTTTATCGCAGAAATAAATAGGTAGCCTACTGCGGGGAAAAAATCTGCCTAAGCATGTATCGTGCATGGCCCATAACTGACTGACCGTTTGGTGCAAGACAATTCATCTTTTAAAGGGCCAATCAATAAAATACTTTAAAAAAACATGCGTATGCATAACAAACTCATAATCGTTAAAATCTAAGCGACTGAAAGATGTTACTATGGATCAGAGAACAGACCAAGGTAAGTGGTATCAGAGGAGGTATTAAATGGCGGTGAGAGGACATATAGCAAGAAAAAAGGATGACTGATAGAGAGAAAAAGTTGGATGAATAGTGCTCAATAAGGAAATTTATCTTTTTACAATGATGTTCAGCCTGTACAAAGCCCAAGAGCCACTCGAAGTAGAGGGTTACAGAGCAAGAGGCACAGTTTAGGACAATATGGGAGGGAGAAGAAAACAGTTAACCTTAGAATTGAACAGGTTAAGGTTGTAGTGATCGAAGAAGCGTTTTCTTATGAGTTGCTTCCACAAAACAGACATGTCTCTCTTTTGTATATTATTTGAATTGTTTGCGATGATGGATGTCTCGCCATTTAAATCATTAACCTTTGCATTAGTTTTTGTGTGAATAATTCATATATATATATATATATATATATATATATATATATATATATATATATATTACCAAAAATTTGTGCTGCAGAAATCAAGGCTGAAGAAAAGGACATTTTGACGAGAACAAAATCTAATCATAAAATGTTTTTTTTTTTTTGCTTTTTGTCATAATAAAATTTCTAATAAAAATCATTTCTCAATTATTTTTAACCATGTATAATGATTTTATCTTATTTAAAGTAGAAAACAAGTACAGTTTGCGGTTAATTTAAAAGATAACTTGGGGTGGCCTCAGACTTTTGAACTGTAGCATACATATATATATATATATATATATATATATAGAAAGAGGTAATGTTTTTTTTATTTATTAATCCAACACATTTTTTTATCATTTTAAACGTTATTTTTAGTGGATACCCATATTTGAGTAGACGCTCCGTTTATTTTTAATCTTATATTTTTAATCTTATATATATATATATATATATATATATATATATATATATATATTCCAGTGGCGCTTTTTCCCCTAACAGATGTTTCTGTAAACCTGACTAGGAAAGTAAACTTTTAGTCTTTGATGTAAATATAGCATGCTGGTGCAATATTCATGTAAATATTTATTCGTGTGTTATGAGCGATAAGATTTCCTGTATCATCGGGTTATTATCAATAACATATCAAATCTTAAAAGCCGAAAATAATATATAAAGATAGATAATTTCTGTCTGAATTTTTAGGGATGAGGAATTAATATTATTTACACAATTTCCATGCGGTTATCACAACGTTTCGGCCTTCATCAGGTGTATGTCCATCCATATCCTACATGGACATTTGAACTGAAACCCTTTATTTAATCAACGGGGGTAGACTGTTCTCGTTCCCGTGTCCATGGATATATTGTCTAGTTCTGTTTTTAGTACTGCTCTGTTATTACTTTCTCCGTGTTCAAGTACACGCTGCCTGACACGGGGATTGAACTCACAATTGCTATGTCAACAAATTGACGAACCAACGCTGTAATCTAGTAAAAATAAAAGTTGAAACGGGAAATTAAGTAACTTAAGTGGAAACGATTATGACCTTTTATCAGGCTAAAATCAATTTTAAATTTTACTGGAGAATTTAATGCAAATATTAAGTTCGTATGAAGAAATGAAGACATTGTCATCTTGAGGAGTAAAAATAAGGCTTTTCGGCCATATTGAGAAAAAATATAAAGTATTTCATTTTCGAATTAGTTTTGGATAGCTGATTGATTTGATTTTTACATGTTTATCAACCTTTTGCAGCTTATTTAAAGCAAGAATATACTTTTAGAATGTAAGAATATTTTTTTTTGGTGGGGGTGGTAATAATGATTTTACTGATACAATTCCTACTAATTAAACTCTAGCTGGGGGAGTAATGTGGTTTCATACTTTTCCCAAGAGCATTTCCGTGGAAGAGAATATAACAAATCCTGATAGAGTTAGATCTCGCCTCTAAGGTTTCCAATTTCGAGCCGTTAGCCATTATACCACCCCACCCACACAAGCTTACAGTATCTGGTATATCCGAAGCGGTCACCCAGCTTGGTACTGAACAGCCTCGATGTTGCTTAACTTTCGTGATCACAAGAGAGTCGGTATATCAACGTAGCATAGCCGTAATCCTGGTAGCTGATTAAAGATCATTATGTTATCTCCTGCATCTTCTGTAAAACTGAAGACTTTGGTAAAGAAATGATCTAGGGCAGAATGAAGTTAGAAGCATTGCCCAGTTTGATGTGTCATGTCG